AGCGTTAGTCGGCGCGAACCGACGGCAACCGGCTAGAAAAGCGACATGCTGCCTTTCGCACCGATGCGTTACCCAGACAACACTGCGTCTCCCTCTTTTCCTGAAAGAGCGACGTCGGACGCGATGAAACGTGCATGCGTCAAATCTACACAGTGCGGCGCGCGCCTGCGATTACGTGGCTGGAGCAGCGCCTAGCGTGGCAACACCGGAGTGATTGATTGATTTGTGGGGTTTAAGGTCCCAAAACCACCGTATGATTATGAGAGACGCCGTAGTGGAGGGCTCCGGAAATTTTTACCACCTGGCGTTCTTTAACGTGCACCGAAATCTGAGCACACGGGCCTACAACATTTGCGCCTCCATCGGAAATGCAGCCGCCGCAGCCGAGATTTGACACCGTGACCTGCGGGTCAGCAGCCGAGTACCTTAGCCACTAAACCACTGCGGCGGGGGGCAACGCCGGAGTGACGCGACGAAAGAAACACCGGCGTGCACGCGCATCGCGTCTCGTCGAAAAGTATTAGCGCCTCGACTGTGGCATGTAGTCATGTTCTCACATTACACATATCTCATGGTTATCATGTTTCAACCAGTCACATACCTTCGTCATCCACTGAAGTCACGTAATACCAAATTTGGCACATGTGAAGCTAGCGAAACAGCCGCTAGCGCATCATGAGTGTGGCATGTAGTCATGTTGTTATATGACACGCATGCCATTATTCTCATGTCAGGGTTTGTCACTTGTTTTCGTCAATCAATCTTGTCATACCACTCTAGTTTTGCAACATGCCATGTGAACAAAACTACCGCAAGAGCTGCAGGACCATGAAACGTGATTCATCACATTCATGACATACTTATCCGGATTTTCATTTTAAGACTACTTATATATGGTCTTCATAAAGTCATGTAATGTCATACCAAGTTTGGTATCTATGCCATATTTGATACGGCTAGGAGATCTAAAAGCCGTAGGCGGCGAGATAGATAGATAGATAGATAGATAGATAGATAGATAGATAGATAGATAGATAGATAGATAGATAGATAGATAGATAGATAGATAGATAGATAGATACATTGCAACCAAGGAGGTTAGAACATTCAGCATAACCTCCTAGATTGCAACCCGTTTATGTGCTGCCACCTTGCAAATATTATCAAAGACTCCAAAACAAGTGATTTGTAGAACATCCACAGGGTTGCACTTGAAGTCAGAAAGCAATCGCTTTAGTGGTTTAAATGTAAAAATTGGAAGACCTCGAAAAAATTGTGAGACATGAGTGCCACAGCCTGAGTAAGGTGTTCCTAAATAAGTCAAAATTGTTCGTATAAATAGTGCAGCTCCATGCAATGCTTCTTCGATAGTAATCAGTATCAATTAAACACACGCGTAATTTTCCGCTTTATTATGAGGTCTAAATTTAGTGGTCTAAATGCTGCTACATCAAGTATTTGTAATGAAAATTATGCTTCCCCGCGGAAGCATAGTTTGGCGGATTACAGCCAGGTAGTGCATTCTGTATGTCTGCGAACCATAAATACCTGTGAGTGTTGCCTGTATCTCATATTACTTCCGGGAAGCAAGACAGACTGTATTCATAGCAAATTTTATCATATTCTCTGCATGAGAGGAAAATAAACAGGGTTGCAAAATTCTACCGAGCTACCAAGCGAATAGTCACCACAAAACAAAACAAAAAAGTCGCACCCCTTTTTTGAGGTAGCCCTAAAGAAGGTGGAATTCAATGTATTTTTGCGTTCTGGAAAACAATATTTATTATAATAAAAAGGTCGCTACAAGACAAAAGAGAGTTCGAAGAATTAGTAAATTTTTGAACATGCGAAAATATGCGCAGCCATAAATGAATGCCGATATTAAAACATTGTCTCTACGATAGTCTGCACTCAAATGAATGAAGCTTTGCTAATGCATAATGAACGTAATTTGTTATTTACCTCCCCCGGTCTGTTTGAGGTTAATATTTGACTACACATTGTCATCGACAATCGTGGTATTGGTGAACGAGGTGACTATGGAAATACTTTCTAAGGAAAATGCCAATAAGCCCGAAAAGGTGTGACACGTTACTTGAAAATTTTACAAGTGACTCTGAGAAAAAGGAATCCTAAATTCGCTTATGACCACTCTGAAACTGGTTGTAATGGCAACTGTGAATGTGACGGCAAGTAATAATTCTTCCAGTTCTCATTTAAACAAAGAGAATGCTCGAACATAAAGGGATGTCTATGAAGCTAGAACATTATTACTTACTATGAAGAAAATGTCTGATTTTTACAAGGATAAAGTACTTAGAGACATCAATGTACCCTCGAACCAAGACCTTTACGATTGTGATGTAGACTTGATGAAAATGAGGTTGTGTTCATGACAGCGCAGCTTAACAAACTGACAACTCAGACACCATAAAACCAGGTGAATGCCTGGCAATATTGACTTGTTTGGTGGAATTAGGTCACCGTCTGCGCTGCCACATATCTCATTATTCTGGTTTTAAAGCAGTACGCCGACAATACATCAACACGCTGGATTGTTAACTAAGTCACGCGCGTGGCCCCTGCTGACCTATAGTTAACAAGTGCAACATCTTTTTCAGTTGGGGCCATGCTTTTACGAGCCGCTGTAGGCCTCCTTAGGATATATGTGCAAACAAATAGTCACCAGTCTTCTCTATGTCACTCAAGCCAAAACAGTTCATTGTATTTCTCTACGCTGACGAGCGCTTGGTTGCTTCAAGGTGTCTTGGTCATTCTTGATATCTTTGTCAATCGCTTGAACTGGAGTTCCTTTGTTCATTAGTCGTGGCCGAAGACGATGAAAAAAACGCAAAAAATACAGAGGTTCTAGTACTTTGTCTAGACATTTGTTTACCTCATTGTGTTTCTCATACCCCTTGGGTTACGTTGTTTTTGTTAGTTTGTTTACTGCTATAATGATTCGGTACAGAACAAACAAAAGCAGCCAGTCCCCTAGAAGAGCTTGCTGCAATACTGGTCCAAAGTACACGTTGGAAAACGTCTTCTCTGTCACTATCCTTTATCAATCGGCAATTTCACGGACATATCGTCAGAAAGTAGTTTTCCAAGCAACGCACACAGTTCATTTCTTTCAGGCTGACAGATGAACCCTGTACTTTATCTTGATCGCAAGAAAAAAACTTGATCAAGCAATGCCGCAATCAGACGTTGGCATGGCTTGATTAAAGAGCTACAGTGTCGCAATCGTTTCGCGGTGTTGACCTGGTTAGTGAACTTTTGCTGACGCCTTAATCAAATCTTTCTTCCTGACGCAAGCTCAAACATCAGACTGTTAGTTCGGGCGTCAGTAAAATATACGCGGACGTTCAGTTGTAGAGCTCACGAAACACCAAACATTGAAGACTGAAACACATTGTATTGTACATCTTGTCATCGTTGCGTTTTGCATAATTCAGAGTATAAGAGGTGGTTGCTTACTAGCATCTCTCTGATAGTCACCATACTGTTCTCAATATCATATAAAATGTTAAATGTCAACTAGTGAACTGTAGGTGTTAACTCAGGTACGCAGGTCGTAAGCCGTTATAAAGAAAGACTTAATCACCGTTTTAGTGGGCTTATATTACGTGTTCTTTGAAGGATGGGCAACAGCACATGCTTTCGATGTCTCCCTGAAACCTGGCACGCGTACCGCGTATAAGCTTGCGACTTTCGAAGCACGACATTCGATTCCTGTAAGGACGCTTCTCTTGTTAACCTAATGATAAAGCGAGTAGAAAGTGCTGTATATGCTTGTTTGTAGCCAGGCTTTATTCGAAGTGACATGAACAAAACATACGCCTGATACTTGCAAGGTAACACGTATTTGAAGTTTTCTACATCATGCAAACCTAGCTGCCAATCAGGAAAAAGAAGCCTACACATCTCCACGAAGTGAATCATGACGAGTTGGAGAAGCACTGGGGATCGTCCTTACGCTCATTTCACCCGTGACATTGTACCCTCGCGCATATAGAAGATTGACACCACGTGTGTACAGTATATACCATGTGTTTTCGCCATTGTTCCACCGCTTTTTGTGCCCTCGTTTCCCCTGTAGCAGCTTGCTGATGTTTTCGTTTTGCCGCTGCTTACCCAGAGTGCGCCTGTGCGGTGGCTTGCTGTCTGTGCAGAGGTTGAGCAGTCGAATGCATTGCTATCGTCTCTGGAGTAGCAGCTTGTTGTCGCCGTTGCCCCTTTGTCCTTCGAGGGCGACAGCACTTTCATCATCGTTTTCATTGATGACACAAGAAAAATGTGAGGTCTAGAACGTGCTTTAAATGAAATATTTCTATATAAGTTAAGTGCAGCATTTTAAGAAGTAGAAACCTGTGTGTGCCCACATGTAAGCATTCATTCGAATTGTAATGAAGTTTCAAATGTTAGCACGGGTATGTATGTCACTGTCTGGCTGAAACTGTTGGACGACGTATGAGACGGGATTTTAAGATTATTCATGTCACGACCAGCAAGTCACATTCGTCAAAACATTCTTACACTACCATACGGTTTTGGTTTTTCCTACGATGAGGTGGTGATCACGAGAGCACCCAGACGTAAGTGGATAGATAGATAGATAGATAGATAGCTAGATAGATAGCTAGATAGATAGATAGATAGATAGATAGATAGATAGATAGATAGATAGATAGATAGATAGATAGATAGAAGGCCGTAGATATGCGAAAAAATAAAACTAAGTGCCTTTAGTACGTGAACATCAGTTTCAGGATAAGCCTCTTCCATACCTTTCTTGTAGTGATCGCCTAACGAACATTGATATTCGAAACGCTTTTTCTTACCAGGGATGCTCACTTTTGATAGGCTAGCTTTTCGAAGTGTAGATGGAGACAAGATTACGATGGGGGTAGGGACAGCTGCGCTTGAAAAGAAAAAATGGTTTCAATTTTATTCATGGAATACAAAACTGTGCGCAAGCGGGCTGTGTGGGCTTTTTTTTAAAACATGGCTCCGCCGGATACATCGACACAGGAGCCGATCATGTACGAACTCTGTGGGCTGCACAGGAATGCCACAACCTGTGCCACCTCACGTGGTTCAGCAGGGCGGCTGAGTGGTATGCTTGCAATAAGTTGCTTCTTCTCATCTTCGGAAAGACGCTCCGACAGAGGCGTCTTCGTGAAGCCTGGTAGTACGGCGTTGCACCTAATGCCCGTGCCTGCAACGTCTAGTGCCATGCACCTTGTGAGACCCAGGATGCCAGCCTTCGAGGCTGTGTAACTGGCATTGCCCCTGATGCCACTTTTGGCAGCAAGGCTTGACACGTTGACCACGGCTCCTTCCTTAATCCCAGCAGCCAGCATTAGGCGAATTCCCGCGCGGCTCATAAGGAATGTGCCCTGCATGTAAAATCATTTCAATTCCCTTTATGACGTTGCTATTGATCAGGTAATCCTGAAAACGTTCTTGTTTTTTTTACTGTACACGAGCCCTCAGGCGTAGCTTGATAGCAATTTCTCATTTGGAAAGAAATACTCGACACTTATTTTAACATGGCAAAATCTATGTTATTCGAGCCATAACTGAAGCTGCTATTTTGAAACGTAGGTGACATTTAATTAAGGTTCAATTTTTTATGAAAAAGCGCGGTTGGGCGTGCATGAAAGCATCAAATAAAATTTTGCCCAAGCCTTGTCCCTGGCGTAATAAAAGCCTACACAAAACATATTAGATCATAGAAAGACGAAATGAACTCTATTTAAATGTAATACTGGTGCAATGACCCAGACTTTGCTGCTTCGACTGCGCAGTCTGCGTTTTACTTCTTCTGGGGGGCGTTCTGCTATTTCGATAGCGTCCCGAAACTGCTAGGACGAGCGGTATGAATGGAACGAAAACCTTCGAGATGAATGGTCTCGTCACTACTACTAGCAGAGTGCCCTTACAAGCTCGCACCTTCGTACCACACTTACTGCCCGTGCCGCTCAGACACGAGTAACTCGGGGGAGTAGCCTTGCTCGATCATTGGTTGTGCAACGTTGGCGCAATCAAGGACGCCAGGTTACGTTCCCTAAATGGGCGCAATCACAACAAAGGCGTATGGATATTCCTCTCCGAAGCAAATCGTTATACATCCTGCAACTTCCTCATTACGACATTCATCTTAACAAAGTACTTACTGTAGCATGTTCACGTCGAGCAAGTGCGCAGTGACATCTCAACCAGATATTTTAGGCCAAGAGGTTTTTTTTCCAGCCCTGATTGAGTGATTTGTGGGCTTTAACGTCCCAAAACCACCACTTGATTATGAGAGACTCCATAGTTGAGGGCTCCGAAATGTTCGTCCACCTGGATATTCTTCAACGTGCACCCTAATCTGGGCACATGCACAGGCCTTTTTCACCTCCGTCGAAAATGCAGGCGGGATTCAATCTCACGACCTGCTGTTTTCTAGTCTTGTATTAGATTTGCTTAATCTGTCCCAAATTACTTAGCGAAATGGCTACGCTTGCCTTCAGGCAGCTTCCACGAGCAAGTATTACAGATAACTCAAAGCATTTTCTCAGGTGACGTTCTGTTTAGAATGTTGCTAGCCTAACAAGGAGATCGGTGTTAACAAATTCCTTACAGCAATTTTCGCTTTTAGTGCGTGATCTTTTATCACATAATTCTTTAATTTTTTTTTCTAAAAAACATAGCAATATTTCTCTGCGGATAGAGGCTTACAGTTCTTTTTTCTTCGTTTTTACTTTTCGAACGCCTTCATTCTTTGCTAGCCCACACCAGACTCAGTGTTTGAGCATAGTGGACGCTATACCGCCACCGACCGCAGCGAATGTTCTCGGTCCCACAACGAATAACTCGATGCCGTGGTACACAACCAACACCAGTCGCCACAAATTGTGAATTGCACTAAGCGTGCGTTGTTTAACGTTTCCCTCATATGACTAAGAGTTCTGTCAGAATTCATCACCGTCACCAGCCACAGCAACAACCACTGACCGCACAAAATGCCTTGCAGGCATGTACTTGGCCCACCGCTTTTCGCGGTAGAATCATGAATAGTGATGCAGTGGGTACTTACCAATTTCGCTAAATTGTGATTATTGGTGGCGTAGCGGGCACCGTGTACTTAGAGTAGTTGCCGGAATAGAGTTTACAAGGAGCCCTACAAAGGCTCATCCTCCAGCCTTCGCTGGGCTATTTTGTAAGTTCCATGCAGGGCTGGCTTTCTTTGATATTTGTTTTTACCTTAAGATGGATTATAGAAATTAGCTCAAGCCTGTATTTGATTTAGGAAGATTTTGAAGAAAATGTTTGGGGCAGCCAAGACAGACAATAAAGTACTTGTGACCATAATGCCCTACTTAAAGTTCTCCCTGTTCGCCACCTAGCGTTCGCCACATATCGGCTGCATCTGGAAACGGTGCTAAGAAGGACAACCTTGAAAGGATTTATGTTGCATGTTGGGTGCGTTCAGAAGCGGCACACAGTTTCTTTATTTTAGCCAGTCCGCACGAGTGAGTTTGAAAACAAAGAAATCGATGTGTAAGAACCATCACGGCTAGTTGAATACGTGGTACAGCAGTGTAAAGATGGCAACGTATTCTTCTATCACTTTCCGAAGTATGCCGATGACGTGCGACGGACAACAGCACAAATTAGGAACTTGTGCATTTGAAAAAAAGTGACAAACACCACTTCAGTTTGTTGTAATGAATTCACTCAAGACGACTTAATTCTCCTTGACGAGCACACAATTATTTAGTGTGTGTGCATTATTTCAATATACAGGCAATAAGGGTCACGTTGACTCAGTTAAGCGCAGCCATCTTTTTCTGACCAATAGCTGCCAGCACAAAGAGCGTTTTATGAAGTTGCAAAATTTATCCCTCCATTCAGCCTCTATTTATTACCTGTAGCATACGCTGCTTGTTGTTTTTTGCCCTTCATGGTCATCTAATCGGCGTACTTACTTGAGGAAGTGATTACCTGATGTGTTTTACACGCTACTGACAGGTTATTCACACCAGGAAAGTTATACGTTGTATCTCACCTTCAGGTTTGTCTTCATTATGCGATCAAAGTCATCTTCACTAGCGTCGGTGATCGAAGTGAAGAGAGCACCAGTGCCGGCGTTGTTGATTAATATGCTCATGGGTGTGCCTCCACTGAAACCTTGAATGACCCGGAAGAGCTCCTCAACGGATGCCGATTCACCAACATCCACTTTCACTGCACGATGGTCCTGGTTGCCTGTGATCAACGGTAACTCAATTGGATATAGTAAAAGAAGAGTGTGACAGTTTAATGCAGGAGAAAATGCTTGACAGAAGAGCAGCTAGAAAATATAAGTATGAGCCAAACTTTCGCGAAACACCTGTAACTTCAAAGAATTAACAGATACAGAGTAGCAGCTACCTGGTTTCGCATACTGGAAACTTACTGGAAAGCACCAAGACTGGCGTGTAACACACAGACTTTGCGCGCAACACTCCCGCTGTACGTGCAACATACACACTGTGCGCGTGCCAACGAGTTTAAGGTAAAAGGTGGCGGCAAAAACTTACGCGAAGTAATCTGATGCTGTAAATTTTTCAGATTTATCATGCAGTGTATATTTTCGCATCACCGTACGTGAACAAATTTAGCTCAAGAAGCCAGCTTCATGCCCCTCTTGTGCTCAACGAATTACGCCTGTAGTCAAAACGTTTGCTCGAAAGTGGAACGCCATCGTGTGATTTGGGAGCGCTATGCAGATACTTTAGTATAGAGTACAAAAGCTATTCAGCACCTTTGTTCAAGCTTCGTGTGTACTGAGTAGTTGATGCAACTCAGTAGCGCAGTAAACAAAACGTGGGCTTCAATTACTGGGCTTCCAAATGAAGGAGAAAGGAAATTTTGTTTGGAATTTTCATGTGCCCTTAGTGTACCTTTTCTCCAATGATAAACTAAAATTATATTTGAAGTCGCTTGTCGAAACTTCTATTTCCCAAACCAGCGAGATAAGAACAATGATAGACCAGCAATGCATTGCTGATGGATGTTGAAGCGTTATCTTGGACTGTCTGTGAGAAATTTCAAAGTGCATTGCATGACCATGTTACTAATATTAGCACATGTAGTGTTAAGTTTTGGAAGTATGATCACGCATTTCTAGCCACACGAACGCTTCGTTAAACATTCAACAGGAATGTCTGTGAGAAATTTCAAAGTGTGTTGCGTGACCATGCTACTTATATTAGCACTTGTAGTGTTAAGTTTTGGAAGTATGATCACGCATTTCTAGCCACACGAATGCATCGTTAAACATTCAACAGGACTGTCTGTGAGAAATTTCAAAGTGTGTTGCATGACCATGCTACTAATATTAGCACTTGTAGTGTTAAGTTTTGGAAGTATGATCACGCATTTCTAGCCACACGAATTCATCGTTAAACACTCGACAGGACTGTCTGTGGGAAATTTCCAAGTGTGTTGCATGACCATGCTTCAAATATTAGCACTTGTAGTGTTAAGTTTTAGAAGTATGATCACGCATTTCTAGCCACACGAATTAATCGTTAAACATTCGAGAGGACTGTCTGTGGGAAATTTCAAAGTGTGTTGCATGACCATGCTACTAATATTAGCCCTTGTAGTGTTATGTTTTGGAAGTATGATCCCGCATTTCTATCCACACGAATGCATCGTTAAACATTCGGCAGATCCCACGTATGCGAATTGATGTAATGCGATAAACGCGGAAGGAAGTTGACCGCGGTGTAATTTCATTGTGTGAAATGTTACGAAGTGACGCTCAATATATCGACAAATATAGTATGCACTGATATAAATGTTCAACGGTGGCATATGTTTTATATAATCAATAGTTTACACTTGCATAACGACGCCAACCACGACATGCGTATTATGAATTCCAGATGCAGTAAGCTAACATGTAGTGCTCCTACTTGCGAGAATAGCAGCTCAAGGTTGTGCTGTATAGGCCAACATTAGCTGATAGTTGTTAAGTATACAAGTGAGATTAACTCAATGGGATGCGTGTATCATAGCAGCACGTATGTAATGTTTGTAAAAATGGGTGGTGACGATAGCAACCACAATTTGTGTTTGACGAGTATTACGCCTGCATTGCGTTATTTTTCTGAGTAGTCTTGAGATCTGCCCAGCTCTGTGGTAGAATAGTTGATTTTCAGACAGAATGCTTTGGTTTGATTCCTGAAAATACCCCGTCATTTATTGTTTGAATTCATTGGGTGAACACTGACAGTGTGTTTTCCTAATGCTGTTCTGTTTAAATTGTCAAGGTCTGTTCTTGCCATTCCTTTCTAGATATAAACTGTCAATGTGGCCCGTGGTATACACGTATGTGCCACACGTGTCTTCACAAATTGGCTTTATCACAAAGTTTTTTCATTATTGATGTCACAACGAGCCAGACATCATTGCTGGAACCTTTTACTATTCCATAAATATTTGGTGTACTCCAAATCGAGGTGGTGATTACGAGAGCACCCAGACGTAGATGGCTGGATAGGTAGATAGATAAATAGATAGATAGATGGATGGGTAGTAGATGGATGGATGGATGAATGGATGGATGGATGGCTGGATGGATAGATAGATAGATAGATAGATGGATAGATAGATAGATGGATAGATAGATAGATAGATAGATAGATAGATAGATAGATAGATAGATAGATAGATAGATAGATAGATAGATAGATAGATGGATAGACGAGACATACAGATAGCTGGATGACAGATAGATAGATAATAGTAGATAGGTAGATGGATAGATAGATAGATATATAGATAGATAGATAGATAGATAGATAGATAGATAGATAGATAGATAGATAGATAGATAGATAGATAGATAGAAACGCCCAAAGTGCCTGCAATTTGCCAAGAAATGCTTGGCATTTATTACCACTGTTACATGCGCCGAGATATCCTGAGTGAACCTAACCTGAGTGTTAACCCACGTGTATGCTATGCACCTACACAGTTCTTAGATGCAAGAATTCTTTGAATTTACAGCAGTAGTACATTTAGGAGATTCAACATTGTGCATATCGTGTTGAAGTCTTGCCTTTGTCCTTTTTTTGTATCTAAAATACGGGGTACCTTTTTTTAACTGGTGCGTGTGCAGACAAGAACGGCATTCGGACGCCGCCTCTGATTCAGTGCATAGTTTCACAACTCGTAATTTTCAGCCGCAGGAAAGTAATGCCTGCTTTTGCGATGTGAAGGTATGATCTTAATTCTACGTAACTCAGCATTAGGAGTAGCGCGAGTTTAGCGACAATTTGGCGTGTAACACACAGACTTTGCGTTTATGAAGCCTGCACTGGCTAAGAACATTAAAAACTACTTTGGGGAAACATGGGTTCGCTAACAAAGAAAACGAGTTGTGAGGGGGTATGTGCCGTTTGTATAGCACTGGAAAGTGACGCAGTCTTTCTGATTTGAGGTATGGCCACAATATTGAAATATGAATGACAAACAGAGTGTCACCAAATTTTGCATGGTGTGGTGCTGGATAATTGTATAAAAATTTTGAGTGTGCTGTATGTGTATGACCGATCCTGAGTCTGCACGGTCGAACCTCCAGTTGCCTGGTAAGTATTTTAGTAGCATATCTTCTATCTCGGCTTTACTGTGTGCAGTTTGCTTTCGGCGGCTGCATTACATTCTTATTGCCTACACATTCGGTTTTTGATGTGTGGCCCCGGGTCCTCTTACGGGATGACATCTACGCCTACTGTTGGACAGAGTGCAGCTGACTTCGCAAGTCGGTCCACTGCCTCATTGCCGGCCTATTGCAGTATCCCAGAGTCTAGCATAGCGTAATCTTTACCTGGGTTTTCTAGGCTGAGAGGATGCTGTTTGAAATGTGAGTATCTTAACGGATATCAACGCACTCATTGCATTGAGGGAATCAGTGGATATAATGGAGGCTGGTTCTTTCTTCTTCAAAATGTGCCTTACAGTGAACAGTATGCCATAGCATTGTGCAGTAAATTTACTGGTACCTTCGTTTATCGCAGATTCAAAGAAACCAGAACCATGTATTGCACATATCACCGCAGATGACTTCGGAGCATCAACGTATAGTATTAACCACACCTATATTTTGTCTGCAAGTACATGAAGCTCTGATCGATTGCGACCGGCAGCGATACTTTCCTACCTCTAGGAATGGCATGTATACCAATTAGTAGCCAGTATTTTCCACGACACCACATCGTCCTCATGTGAGCTCAGTTCAGAATTAGAAACAGACTTGCGCGGATTTACTAAAGGTGAAGCTAATCTGGTAGGATACGGTGATGTAACTGATAGTCGCCCTAAAAACAAGTGCAAGTTTGATGATACCTGCATTAGCTCACGTAATAGTAGGTGAATGTGGGAAAGCATGATGCTTGCTAATTGGCGTCGTCGTTCTAGTGACCACCGGGCTGTCTCAACATGCAGAATAATTATTGAGCTCGCTTGCAAAGCACCGCCCCGCCGTGGTGGTCTAGTGGCTAAGGTAAGCGGCTGCTGACCCGCAGGTCGCGGGATCGAATCGCGGCTGCGGCGGCTGCATTTATGATGGAGGCGGAAATGTTGTTGGCCCGTGTGCTCAGATTTGGGCGCACGTTAAAGAACCCCAGGTGGTCAAAATTTCCGGAGCCCTCCACTACAGCGTCTCTCATAAACATATGGTGGTTTTGGGACGTTAAACCCCACATAACAACAACGCTTGCAAAGAACCACTTGCCAGACGAAGCCGAAGGTGCACACTGGGTTAAGCATCTTTAATGCAGATCTTGACACTAATTCGGAGACGACAAAGTCATAATCGATACGTGACAGCAGTGAACTGCTCAATAGGTTCAATAGCCAATGACGATCTCTACCCCATGACTGATGCGAGAGGATCTTGACTATAAAGATTCGAAGCACTTCAATCGCAACATCTTGATATGGGTGATGATCGTAAACCAGAACGCGTAGAAGTTTCTCATCTTTCCTAGTAGCTGTATTTTTACATTTATTGTGATGGTCCCGGCTGGCCTAATGACACGTGGTTTTAAACGAGTAAACAGTCAGTTATCTCACAGTGCAACTTAAAATAGTGTTCGTCATCCGGGCTTGAGAGTTTATTTGTTGCCTACTGAATTTCAGGCTCACAGATAGTCAGGTTGCACTATTTGAAGCTGATCTGAACCTCGTCCATATATAAGAAGCAAG